GTGATCTGCTACTAGACCTGGTGGCCTGAAGTTGATCTCCAGGATCCACAGGGCAGAAAGAAAGAACTGACTCCTGAATGTAGACCCCTGGCCTCCACACAGGCACACACAAATTCTAAGTAAGGTTATTTGTAATTTTAAATAAGCAAATTTTATTTTGGCTGTTTCAGAAATGTCAGTTCACAGTTGTTTGGCCTCATTGATTTGGGCTTGTCTGAAGGCAGACCATCATAGTGGGGAACGTGTAAAGGAGCTAAGAAAACTTCCCACTTCTTCATCATGGCAGCTGGGAAGAGGAACAAAGGAACACATCCATATGTCCCTAAAGAGAACACTTCTAATAGCCTTATTTCTCCAACTAGATTCCTATCTCCTAAGACTTCCCAACAATGTCAAGTGACCAAGGCTTTAAGCTAGTTTTGGGGGAGGGAATTTAAGACCCAGCACATAATAGTTAATAGTAGCATGGGTAGGACTACCAATGGATGATGTTTGATTGGAAGGTTGGCTAGTGGGTTGATAAGAGGGTTGAGTGTGGATGAATGTAGAAATGATGAATAACTAAGTTAGTGTAGGAGAGAGAGAATAGAGAGGGGAGGTAAAGATGGATTTGGTGGTTTGAATAGGAATGGCTCCCATTGACCCATGTGTTTAAATACTTGACCCATAGGGAGTAGAACTACTAGGAGGTGTGGCCTTGTTGAAGTAGGTGTGGCCTTAAGGGAGGAAGTGTGTCTCTGTGAAGACTGGCTTTGAAGTTGCATATGCTCAAGCTATGCCCAGTGTGGTTCACGGTCTCCTTCAAGATAGAACTCTCGGCTCCTCCAGCAACTCAGCTCCTCCAGCACCTTGTCTGCCTGCATGTGCCATGCTCCCCACCATGATGATAATGGACCAAGCCTCTAACCTATAAGCCAGCCCCAATTCATGGTCATGATGTCTCTTCACAGCAATAGAAATCCTAACTAAGGCAATGGATTAAAGGCTGGCCATGAAGTGGAACTATAGTTAGGGTAGATAAAGGAAGATGAGAAAGACTGTAAGGCAAACAGACATATGGAAGGCATTTGTGAGAAAATTGATAAGTTGGAAGATAAATAAGGGGAAAGATAGGTAAGCAGAGATTGTGGACATGGGTAGATGGTGCAAGACTGGCCAAGTGAGGAAGAGGACTGAGTGATTAGTGGGTAAATGAGTGACTAGAACTGTGATTGTATGAGTCAAAACATTAATCAAAGTTAAGACGTGAAGTTATACGTATTGTAATTTATATTACACAAAGTAAGTGCATTTGAAATATACAGAAAAAAGGATTAATTTAAGAAAAATATACAAGGCTGAAATCCACAGAGGAAGAGGCAGAGAAAATGCAGACTATAAGATGAAGAACTGAATGGCACTAAGCCAGACCCAGTGGCAAGGAGTGAGGACGCCATAGGCTCAAGTCATTGTGTCTGACAGTGGTGTGTTGGAGAATCCGTGAGGAAGCTGCAGGGGCTCTGGGTGCACGAGGTGGTGGGCTCCACAGTGCGCTGTAAAGATGCAGGGCTTCATCGCCATGCTCTGGTGCAGAATCTGGAGCTGTGAAGACAGGCAGGTATCTGTGCAAGAAATGTGACCGTGCATCAGGCACTGCCAGGGACTTCTGGCTGAAGCCCAGGCGTGGTGACTAGTGAGTGGGAAAAGTCCCAGGACCACCTGCATCACAGTGACAAAGCCAAAGATTCCACGGAGTGGTCAGAGGAGTGTCAAGTGAAGTGACAGGCAGTTGTGTCACCAAGTGTGTGGGTGACCACCTGCCCCTCGTTCCAAAGGTGATTGGAAAGATGAAAGAGTCTCTCTTGTCCATTAGGGAAATAATAGTTTCCTCCTGGTGCTATCCAGGCTGAGACCAGGAATCTGTATAAAAAGAGAGATAGGAATTTAGTCTTTTAAGTAAGCCTGTGTGTGTGTGTGTGTGTGTGTGTGTGTGTGTGCTTTTTGTTTGTTTTGTGTTTTGAGACAAGATCTCACTATGTATCTCTCACTGGCCTGAATCTTGCCACATAGACCAGGCTGTTCTCTGCCTCTTAAATGCTGGGAATAAAGGTTTAAGTGAAGGGTCAAGGGCACAAGAGAATCCACAAACCTGGTGTCATAGGGGCTCACTGAGACAACCTACACTCAGGGAGCCTGCATGAGTAGAACCTAGGCCTTCTGCATGTGTGTATAGTTACAGAGCTTGATGTTTTTGTGGCCCTCCTAGCAGAGAGAGCAGGGGATGTTTCTAACACTTTCGCCTGCTTTGGGGATCTCTTTTCTCCTACTGGGTTGCCTTGTCCAGCCTTAGTATGAGGTGAGGTGCTGAGTCTTCTTTTTTTCAATACAGGGTTTCTCTGTGTAGCCTTGGCTTGCTGTGTCCCTCACTTGCTTTGTAGACCAGGCTGGCCTTGAACTCACCATGATCTGCCTGCCTCTGCCTCCCAGAATGCTGGGATCAACAGGTGTGCGCCACCACACCCTGCTGATGTGCCTACTCTTACTGAAACCTGATATGCCATGTTTGATATCCCTGGAACACCTGCCCTTTTCTGAAGGGAAAGTGTAACAGGCTTTTGGCTACTTTACTGGGTTCTTTTCCATACCTCCCTACACCACCCTGGTAGGAGAGAAAGAATATTAGAGGGAAAAGGGGGTGCCAATATAGTTAGACCACTTCCTGCTGAGTAGGGGTATCAAGTTTTTTGGGGTGAATTTGATCTTTGTTGTCTCCAACCAGAAACCCAACACACAGCAGCAGTAGCAGGAGCAGCCAGCAACCAGCAAACAGGGGCAGCAGCAGCGGAAGGGAGAGCATTAGCCCCTCTTGGGGTTCTGGAATCTATACATCCTCTGAAGAATTCCCAGAATTCCAGAGGCAAACTATTCTCAACTGGCAAAATCACAGTGCTGCCAGAGCACGAGGCAAATCATAGTCAGCTGCTGTAGACAATCTGAAGCAAATCCATATCCCACACCTGCGATTAAAACAAAAAACCACATTCCTGTAACATTTCTGTGTTTTTAAAGAAACCAAAAATTCTCACTACTGGAAAGGGATGAGGAGTGGATGGGAAGGGGAAGGGTGGGAGGGGAGAGATATAGAGGAGAGGATGTAATACATAAGAGAATAAATTAACAGAAAACAAAACAAAAAGAAAGAAGAAAGAATGAAAGAAAGCAGGCTGAACGAGCCATGGAAAGCAGGCCAGTAAGCACCACTCCTTGATGGCCTCTGCTTCAGTTCCTGCCTTCAGGTTCCTTTATTGAGTTCCTGCCCTGAGGTCCCTTTGATGGTGGACTGTGATGTGGAACAATAATAGAAATAAACCCTTTTCTACCCGACTTGCTTTTGGTTATGCTGGTTTATCATGGCAATAGAAACACTGGCTAACTAAGATAGGAGGTAGTTTCCAGTCCAAACGTTAACATCTGTGAATGATGGAACAAGGGCTGGCTACTTATAGCAGATTTTTCTCTCCTCTTACGTACTTTTCTTCTATGTTTTACTTCTAGAAAGTGAAATGGAAGGAAAAAAAAAGATCATAGGAAAGTGTTTTAGAGTCACACTTCACATGCTCAGTGTTGAAGTCTTCCTTGTACCCGTCTTCCCTGTACCAAGCCAGGACTTGTGAGGCACCAGATTCTTCATATTTCATGGGTTCCCACAGGCTGACAGAACCCAGAAAGGTTTTAGGATCTTTATTTTCCTTGGGTTTACTTTACATACAAGGGCTGGAGGGATAGCTCAGAGGTTAAGAGCACTCTCTGTTCTTTCAAAGGTCCTGAGTTCAATTCCCAGCAACCACATGGTGGTTCGTAACCATTTACAGTGAGATCTGGTGCCGTCTTCTTGCCTGCAGGCACCCATGCAGATAGTACACTGTATAAATAACAGAGAAATCTTTTATAAAAAGACATGGTGGAGAGAGAGAGGTGGAGAGAGAGAGAAACTTTGGATAAGAACTTTGAAAGGTCCCTAACTTTGTTTGTTTTATGTTTTTTAATTATGTTTATTCTCTCCTTCCACCGCTTTGATCCCAGAGATCAAACTCAAGTTGTCAGCCTTGGAGGAAGGCACTTTTACCATTGAGCCATCTCTCCACCCTGGCTTCCGCTTTGTTTAAACAGGGTCTTCCTGGATTCCCAGCCTTTCCTACATAGCCTGGAACTTGTTGTGCAGACCAGGCTAGCCCCACCTTGTAGCAATCCCCCTGCCTCAGCGTTCTGAGTGCCAAGATGTGTATACCATCAAGCACAGCTGAGAGGTTCCTATATGTATCTTTTCCTGGTCATTGAGATGTGGCTGTGTATTTGTGTGTGTGTGTGTGTATGTGTGTGTGTGTGTGTGTGTGTGTGTGTGTGTGTATGTGTGTGCAGGTACATATACGTTTGGGTATATGTATGTGCAGGTACATCTGTGTGTAGTGTTGTGTTTGTACACATGTGCACACATCTATGAATCTCAGATGTCAAGTTGGGGTATTGTTCCTCAGGTACCATCCACCTTGATTTTGAGACAGGGTCTCTCATGGGCCTGGAGCTCACTGATTATGCTGCCCGTAGACCCTCCTCTCCCCGTCTCCCCAGCTCTGAGATTATAAGCACACCCTACATTTTTACATAGGTTCTGGGGATCAAGCTTAGGTCCCCGACGCTTGCAAATTCGGTTCCCACCATCCACAGCAGTGGGCTCACAACCATCTGTCACTCTTAACTCCAGTACCAGGGAATCTGTCACCCTCCGCTGGCCACCAAAAGCACACACACGTCTATACACTCACCAATACCCACATTATAAACCAAAACACAAAGCTTAAACTAGTGTCGGCGTGTGTGACCCACTGCGAGCTCACCGGGCGTTGTCCTAACCGGCAGCATCGTTTGTCCAGGCAGCCAGCTAAAAGACAGAAGCGAGAGCTGTCTACTGTGCTCCTGGTAAGTCATCACCGTGACAGGGCTACTTTTCCTCCACTCACAGGTCAGTGTCTGGCCTCCAAGCACTTCAGTCCACAGCGGCTGCAGCACTTCTGGTCCAGTGGGCAGTCACTGTCATGAAGGCACAGGGGCCTGTCAATCTTGGAGCACTTCATGGGCTTAAGCGGGCAAAAACCTGTTTTGACTTTGTGAAATAAGACAACTGACTTTAAAACAATACTCGGAAAGAATCTGACACAATTGGAACCCCAGACGATGTTTTATTCTTTCTTTCTGTGTGTGTGTGTGCGCGCGCGCGTGTGCGCGCGCCTGTGCACACTTACCACTAGCTCCCATTTTGCGGTCACTGAAGTATGGAGACTCTGAATAAGTAAGGTTTTGTTGTCGCTTTGTTTTGTTTTAGAGGGGTTTTCCCAGACAGGGTTTCTCTGGTTTCCTGGGTGTCCTGGAGCTCACTCTGTAGACCAGGCTGGCTCTGAGCTCAGAGATAGGCCTTTGCCTCTCAAGTGCTGGGTTAAAGATGCGCTTCACCACTGCCCAAGTAAGCTCATTTATTTATTTATTTTTGAGGTAAAACAGAAAATGACTGTGCTCGTGAGAGGCTCTGAAGAACAGCGCAAGTGTTCAGAGGCCAGGAGGTCAACGTGAGAGCACCCGGTTGGGCATTTTAAAAAGTCCCCTGAGAGACCTCAAAGATTAGGGCAAGGAGCATCTGAAGTTCAAAAGACTTCTCCACCTCCCAGGCAGCTGTGTGCGCAGCACTCAGGAGGCTGAGGCAGGAGGATGGTAAGTTTGAGGCCAGCCTGATTCTCTCGTGAGATCCAGACCACGCTAGACTACCTAGTGAGCCCATGCTCTGCCAGGCCTCCCTCACCCATCTCACGGGGTATCACGACCTCCTGTAGACCGGGAGGTTTGCCACCAGTCCTTACCTAGCCAGGCTTTGGCACAAACAAAGCCACACCGGGACTCACAGCACTTTTCCTTCTCCAGGCAATCCATGTCATTCTTACAGGACGAGGGGCACTCCATCCGCGTTTGGAGAGGGAAGAGGGGGCACTGACCCTTCTTCACTGGAAAGAGAGCAGAGGCGAGCTTGACAGCACCCCCAGCACCCCACTGCCCTTTGGAAAGCTTTCCTTTCTCCTTGGTGGTGGTGATAGTTTCTATACCTCGGTTCAGCTTACCCTGACCATCTCCAGTAGGCTGTAGAGGGCACCTAAGATCGGAAGCCCTGCACCCAATGAGCTCACTCTCTCTATGGAATAAAGGAAACGTGAAATCGGCACAGACCTGTCACCTTTGGGTTTGTGATGTATGTTCTGTCACCTTGCCTTGGGTACACATATGAGTTCTGCTGCCTACAAATGAAAGGGGACCCTCCCTTCATATTTTTGGGCTGTCGAGGGCTCCAGACTGTGTGTGAAAGTTTCCCTTTGAGTTATAATGGGGAGAAAAACAAGGCCACATATCTCCCTGGGATCCTTTTTTTTTTCTGTCCTTCCTTCCTCCCTTCCTCCCTCCCTCTCTCCCTTCCTTCCCTCCCTTCCTTCTTTCCTTCCTTCCTTCCTTCCTTCCCTCCTTCCCTCCCTCCCTCCTTCCTTCCTTCCTCTTTCTTCCCTCCTCCCTTTCTTTTTGCCTTTCTTTTTCTCAGGTCAGATATAGATATGATTTTTTTTTAAAATTTGTTCCTGTTTTTGTTTCAGCTTTAGTGTTTTGAGATAAAGTCTCATGTAGCCCAGGCTGATCTCAAACTTGTGTAGCCAAGGCTTGCCTTGAACTCTTTAATGTTTTTTGGTTGGTTGGTTGGTTTTGTTTGTTCTGTTTGTTTTGGTATTGTTTTTTCAAGACAGGGTTTCTCTGTATAGCCTTGGATGACCTGGACTCGCTTTGTAGACCAGGCTGGCCTGGAACTCACAGAGATCTGCCTGCCTCTGCCTCTGCCTCCCCAAGTGCTGGGATCATAAGCGTGCGCCGCCACACCCAGCGAGCCTTCAACTCTTAATCCTCCTGCCTCTACCTCATAAATGCTGGGATTCTAGGACAGCATACCTCTGCCTCATGTGCTTGAGTCCATGGCTCCACGATTCTTTAGAGCCCTCCAGAAAGGGAAGCGTGTAGCCCTAGCTTTTTCAAGCCAGGTCATAAAGCTGCCTGTGCTGTTCAGACATATCCAAGCTGAGAAGTTAAAACTTCAGCTCCACCCCCCACCAACTGCCCATCCCTAGACAGCTAAGAAGATTGTTCTAACTCTGCTTCCCCATCTGCACAGCGTTAGTGATATGGTCAAATATGGTGGCTCACACCTCTAACTCTAGCACTTGGCTGGCTGAGGCAGAAGAACTAACTGCTCCAAGTTTCTAGCTGGCTGGGCTCCAGCTTGAGAACAAACGAGCAAAAATGTGGTGCTGATGATACAGTCTTTCTCAACCTGCCCCCCAAAACCTGAGGTGGAAACCCAGCGCCGATGAGTCAGTCACTTTTATTTTGAGGCCAACACACGCATTTTGAAGATCCGCAGTCATCGCTTCACGGTTGCCATTGAGGGAGCCATGCCATGAAAAGCTGTGCCCTTTATATCTTTGATGGCACAGAACCCTACCAACAGTTCAGTGAGCCGCTTGCTCTTCCAGATTCAAAGAAGGGGAAGGAACTTAGAGCAGGCAGAGGAAGAGTGCCATTTTAAGCCAGGTTGCTTGATGTATAAAGCCCACAGCACCCTGGCTCCCAGCAGTGTCGGTGTTGATCATTGCAGTGAAAAATGAATCTATAGGCTTCACCTTCACCTCCAGGGTCTACACTTCCTCCATGGGGTGATACTCAATAGGTTGCTGTGATGAGAAACATCTTCCTCCAAAGAATTAGACCTGGGCTTGGGCCTAATTCTGACTTCTGGCCAGTGTTCAGTGTTTCCAAAGACATTATGTGTCTTGTCCCATTTCTTTTTTTTTTTGGGGGGGGGGGTGTTTGCAGGAGACTTCAGTAACAGAAAAGTCATGGGTAGCTGGAGTGTAAAATCAAGAGCTGGAAGACTAGGGTTAAGCCCTTGAATGAGGGCCAAGGAGAATCAGAGTGTTCAGGAGACTGGTATGGGAACCCATTTTTGGGGAGAGAAAGTACGAGGCAGGTATCTGCTTGCTCAGAAGAGGGGAGGTGCCAGACTCCCGAGGTTACTCAATGTTACTTTGAAGCTGGGGAGAGCCTGGGAAGTAAGTTCAAGGAGCTTAGGGGTTTACCTGTGGACAGCAGAAGACTAGGTGGGAGAGGAAGCATTAGGGCGGAGACCGCTGGGAAAGTCACCTCCTCTGATTGGGAGGTGGCCTGAAGCAGAAGGGACCATGCCTTCCCCTTGCCATTCTCTGACTCCAAGACTTCCTTGCATAGGCACGCCAAAGAGAATGGGGAGAGGGGCAGCCCCTAGGAAAACTTCAAGACACGGCCTGGTTTCCAGAGGTCTCCTATCTGCTGACTTTTCCTCGTTTCCCAGCCTCATGGTTTGTACATTAGCTTGATTTCTGGTCACAACAACTCCATTAGGTAAATACTGTTAATATCCCCATTTTATAATCCAGCCAAAAGTCATAAAGGCAAGCAGCTGCCCAAAGACCTCTCAACCAACAAACGACAGAGTGAGTGTTTGAACCCAAGGCAGCTTAGTCTCAAAGCCCGGGCTATAACTATGTTAGTGTACTGTTTGTAGTTAGGCGAGGCACCCAGGCTAGGAACATGGGTCTTACCAATCAGTATGCAAGCCTTCCTGCAGTCAGACTTGCTGAGGAAGTTGTTCACATTCCCATGACATCCAGTGAACTTAAAGGACCTGCACTGTTGCCTCTCGGAGTCAAAATACCATCGGTTTTCATTGCCATCACAGTTCCCCGCCTCCAAGGGCAACATGCAGGGTTCTGAGGCAAGGAAGCAAAGCAAGAGTGTAAAGCACGGATGTGAGAAGAGGAGATCAGGTCCCTAACCACAGCCTTCATCATAATCCAGAGTGTTACTGTTCTCCTCATAGACAATCCAGTGAAAACAGACACAGATGGGCCACAGAGATGGCTCAGCAAGGAAAGGCTTTTGTTGCCAACCCCGAGGACCTGAGTTGGATCTCCAGGAGCCACACCTTGGAAGGAAGGGACTGGCTTCCATAAGTCATCTGCTCCTCAAACGTCCATGCTTTACACTTGGACTTAAAGGCAGAGACTGGAATTACAGAATGAGGAAGGCATAAACTCTGTCCTTTTGGTCCTGCCTTCTAACTTCAACCAGTTCTGGACACAGAAAGAAGTGGGAAACCCCAAAAGGCACCTCTGCCTCACACCCAGTACCCAGTACCTTCATAAGGATCCATGCACATCCTCCCACAGGCAAAATAGCAACACTTGAGATGGGCCTCGCAGTTGAAGTCTGTTGTGCAGGAGGTCACACCCCTATTCGGGCAGTCCATCTCCTTCCTGGGGCACTCTCCCACTTTTTCTGTGAGAAAGAAATATCCAAGCTCACATCCTCGAGCATTTCAGCCCTTGTCCTCCATGGAAAAGGTGAGCTGCGAAGAATCTCAGTTTTTTCATCTACCTCTGATTCTCAGTTCTTCCCTTGCTTACACTCAGGGGCTACATCCATGTCTCTCCATGCTTGGCCCCTTCTGATGGAGCTAAATGTTTTGCTCAGGTAACCTAAGGGAAGCCATGTTGGGTCCCAGAGCATGTAACTAGACAAAAATGCCATTTGTCTTAAGTGAAAGACTTATTTCCTTGTGTCCCAATGGCTCTGACACCACATTAGCAGAGGAGATTGATGAGCAGCGGAGGAAACACAATGGAAAGATGTGCCGGGAGTCCCAACCTTGGTCCCTAATATCTTATGTGGACCCAAGACCAGCCTGAGTTCAGTTACAGGGCTTTTTTGAGTTAGTAACTCTAAGAGAGAAAGAGATGGCGAGATGGCGTATGGGGAAGAGGAAGGAAGTGCTATTGTCAGACAGAGCTGGTCTTGCTAGCCTGGCTCCAACATTAACTAAAATATATACACATTTATATGTATATTAACTAAAATATATATATATATGTATATGTATATATATATATTTGAAAATACTTTTCATTGTCTAAGTCGTAAGCGTCCCATCTGTAAGATGAGAATAATGATCCCTTAGAGTTTGCTTGTAGGAATTTAGGGGGATGATGCACAAGATACACTGACTGCAGGGCCTTGCACTGGGTCAAAGCTGGGCAGTTATGAGGTCCCATCCTCCCTTCTAAGTACGTGGCATCGCTTCCTGACTTCCTGGTTTGTGGTGGCCAGAATTCTCAAGTTGTTTCCTGATACTCCTGTCCTCTTGTTAGTGCATCAAGCAAGAAGCCAGGCCCTGCTAAAAGTGACGTGGTAGGTGTAATCCAAGCCCTAACCCAGTCAACCGTAAGACTCAGAGCTAATCTAACTGGCTAACATCCAACCAACTGGGTCCCTTGAAGGCAGGATTTTCCAGTTAACAGAGAAGTTGGAGAGGTTCAAACTGTAGGCAGGTTCCAACTCTCAGCAGCTTTGACTATGGCAGAAGGGCAAGTGCCAGGAAGTGAGGGTGGCCTTTAGAAGCTGGCACCACCGGAGAAAGGAGAGCCAGACCTAAAATTGTAAGAGAATGGCTATATTACAAATGATCTGAGAAGCGGACCCAGAGTCCCAGGTGAGAACCGCAGCCTCAGCTGGCACCTTGCTCTCAGCCTGGTGAGAATCTGGGAAGAAATCCCAAATGCATCACACCAGGTTTCTGAGCTCCAGATAGAGGTTCTAATACAGCAGGTTGCTAATACGGCATTCTGTGGCTCTAAACTGAGCACTCACATTCAGGATTTGATAATCAAAGCGGCTAGATCTTCTTGGGTTTGGGAACTAGTCAATTTTAGAACGAGAAGGCCTACATATCAGCACCAGCCAACCAGTTGCTTAAGAGAATTAGATCAGCTGGAATCACATGGTAAATTAGCTGAGGCTCACAAGGCTCACCTCAGGAGCCCCGGCCATGGTTCCCGCTCTTCACGTCACTCTTAATGTAACCCATCTAGGACTGCCTGAAGCTAAGAGTATATGGTTCTCATCTGGAGCATTCATTGAAATCACCGGTTCATAGTCTACATTCAGAACATGTAGACTATGAACTAAATCAGAATCTCTAGAAAGTAAGGCCTAGGTGATTCCATTCTTTAGAGATACCGTATACAGTCCTGAAGCAAGCATCTGGATGCTACATTTAAACACAAGAAAAGCTAAACAAATAACTTGGAAGCAGCTCACAGTGACCAAGAAGGCATAGACAGGAAAGTCTTGAGATTACACAGTCCAGTCTGCCATCTTACTAGCGTGGACTCCAGCCTCCCTCCTGCTTCCCGGAGACACTTGAACCTGTGTTTATTATCGTGCATTTCCCCCCACCTTGTCAGCTTGTTTTGAGCCCTCCTTCCGCCTTGGATGGCTCTTCTTAGTCACTTAACTTTAGTGCACACACCCAAGGGACTCTTACAGGTCTCCTGGCCTCAGGGGTCTCCTGAGCTACCTGGACCCTTGTTAGCCTAACACACTCTTTCCCGCTGGTTCTCGTGTCTTTCCACAGACCCACTCTCTACTCTGAGCCGAAGACCTTTGTGTACAGTTAGCTGAAGAAAAGCCATCCAAGAGGCATTCGGAAGCTTTTGTTTCAATGTTTTTGAGACAGAACCAGTGTCTTCCAGGCCTAAAAAGCACTTCCTCCTGTTCTGTTCCCCACCTTGACCTTCAGCACATCAACAATTATGAAACACCACTTCCCCCAACCCCAGATTCTGATCCATCCAGGATTTGGGTCAATTTTGTTTCTTGGCATCTCTTCCCACCCCCATCTCTCCTCTTTCTGTGTTGCCATTGCCTCCAAGTAACACCTGGGCTCCTGCCATGGCAACATCGCCCTCTCTGGCCCTCTCTTTTTTCAGCTTCATGACTAATAAATATTTAAATTTTAAAAACTTGAAAACACAGATTGAGGAAAGCCAGAGAAATAATTTGGGTAAACAGGTGAAGAAAGCTGTAGAAGCAAACAGAAGGAGCTCTCCGTGACCAACAGGAGCCCCTTGCCTCTCCTTCCAGCCCTCAGTCCCCAAGTGCACTTCCCCAGAAGAATGACCCATGACCCACGTTTGATTTTGATGGTGTAAAATGCTGAAGTCAGCTCCAAGGCAAGGAAGAGAAACAGCATGAGTGTCCGGCTTCTCCGGGAGCTGGTGGACCCAGGGAGGGGAAGAGGCCTGTGTGAGTGAAGAACAGGGACCTGAGTTAGGCACCTCGAGGGGGAAGCACAGCCCTTGCAGAGATGCCTTCAGACGGTTCCTAGCCCGGCTTACTTCATGGATGAGCAAACAGAGCCAGGAGCGAGAGAGAGCCACCTCTGTCTGAGGTGGCAAGTTAGGATGGGATGGAGACAGTCACTCCAGGACTCTCCCCATGGCGCTGCATCTCAGCCTGTTCAGTCACTTTCCCCGGTCTCGCTCCTGGGTAAGAGGTCACACTTGAATCATCACAGGCTCCATTTGGAACAGTTGTCAGGTGAGTTTCCTGTGCTCGTGTCTGAAGCTTCAGACACGATTCAGCACCTTTGCTTTGCTCCACTGACAACACGGATTGATAGTATGAGATTATCTGGAGACCTGGGCAGGCGGCACAGGATTTAGGTGCTTTAGAATTGCACAGGCACGCGTATGCACGCGTGCGCGCGCGTGCGCGCGCGCACACACACACACATACACACACACACAGTGCCCCAAATGACCTTCTGTTAACAAAGAGATTACTCTCATTCCTTCTGCCTCTATACAACTCTAGAATAACCTGATAAACTGATAATAACCTGATAATCTTCTCCCTCTTTCAAGTGCTAGTTTCATGTGTTTTTGTTTGTTTGTTTGTTTGTTTGTTTTATGACCCATGATTATTTTTAAATTTGTGCACATGTGGAGGTCAGAGGACAACTTTTGGGAGTCCGTTCTTTCCTTCTGCCTTGACTTCTGGGGTAGAACTAAGGTAAGTTTCTCTACCTGATGAGCCAGGGCCTCCTGAGTGTTTTTAATTTCAAGATGAGAAGATCCTGTGATGCCTGTAGCTCTAGGTGAGCACATTTCAGAAGCCGTGGGAAGGGGGGAGGGAAAAGAAAATGCGTTGACGCGACAGATGCCAGTGTGAATCTTAGCTGTAGAGAGTTCCAGAGCCTGAGGATCTGTGGACACGCCTTGGAGCATCTTCCCCGGAATGCCTGAAGCAACAGTATAAAGATTTGCAGAAGTTGCTGTTCCCCTTCTCCACTTTCTAAAGAATTCTGATGTCCCCTCACCGCCCCACCCCTGCAGGCTTTACAACAGCCCCTGGGCTCTTCAGTGATGGGAATGTTAACCCCAAATCAGCAAGTGTGAATTTGACCCTGTTTTGGTCACTTATACAACTATAGCATGCTTTGGATCCTCAGTTTTCCTCATCCAGGAAAATGGGAAAATACAGCCAGCACAGTGGCCTCTTTTTGTGGTGGGAGTGCAGATGAAACAGTATGAAAATCTGATGCATCAATATAGAATCAAGATACGAGTTGGACTGACTTTTCCTGTGTCCGCCAAGTTACCCTCTGTGTGGTCTCAGCTCAGTCATTTAGCCTCACGGAACCTCATTTTTTATTACAAGCAAATGAACAAAACAAACAAAAACGATACCTGTGACAGGAGAAGTGAGTAGACATGGCAGCTGCTGTGTCCTGGTGCACACCTGTCAGGAGACAGCAGCAACGGTGTCAAAAGTCCTGCCTTTTCCTTTCAGTTCAAATTCCCTAGTCGGAGACTGCAGGGTTCCTCAGTAGACTGAGGCCAAACACTTAAGCTAGTCTTTTGATTTAAAATTTAACCCGTTTATGTATACCAATAACGTCTTGAAAATTAATTGTTCAGATTAACCTGTAGCCAGTCACTAGAGAGGAGCGTTCCCAGGATAGGCATGATGGGAAAACACGGATCTATCTATGGTCTTCCCAAACATGATAGAGAATATTCAATTATAATTTTTAGTCATATCTATTTCGTGGAACATAGCATTAATATAAAACACACTATTATGGATACAAGGAACATGGATGTATTATAATTATTTATTGTTCACTTAACTAGTCATTGTGTGTGTGTGTGTGTGTGTGTGTGTGTGTGTGTGTGTGTGTGTGTGTTTTCTTTTATTGGTGGGGAAGATTTGGCAACTTTGGCACAGAATGAGTCTATTTTAATTGGAAGGAATTCATTTGCCAACGTGTGTAAGGCCGGGCTGGAGTGATAACTCAGCGGATAAGAGAATACTGGGTGCTCTTCCAGAGGACCTGGGTTTAAGTCCCAGCAACCAAGAAGCCGCTTACAATCATCTATAACTCTGGTCCTGGGAGATCTGGACCCTTCTTCTGGTACCAGGTGTTCCTATGGCACACAGACATTCCCACAGGAAAAACACTCATACACACAAAATTGTTTAAAAAAATAAATTTTAAGAAGATGCTGCGAGACCCGAGTTTGTTGGAGACAGGTGGACATTGTTGAGGAGTTCCCCAGTTCATTGGTGCAGAACCAGTGAAAACCAGAGTGCTTGGCCGTGATGGCGTCATAAGACATAATAAAAACTGGCCTGGGCTGTAGCTCAGTTGACAGAGTACTTGCCTAGCATGCAGGAAGCCCCGGTCTAATGCCCAGCCCAACATGAACCTGACGTGATCAGCTAAACCTGTCATCCCAGCATTCTGGAAGTGAAGGCCGGAGGGTCAGGAACCCAAGTCTTCATAGTTAGTGCAGCCTGGCTACATGAGACAATCTCAAAAAAAAAAAAAAAAAAAAGAAAAAAGAAAGAAAAGACAATGAGATGAGGGAGGAATGATCCGAGCAGACACCCAGGGGACCGCCACCAGGCTCCATGTGGCATGGGCAGTGAGGAAGACATCCAGAGGCCCCGACCTGGGTGCCACTAAGATAACCAAGTATATGGTGGAAAGAAGGGAGAGAATGGTGTGTGCACAGTGAAGAGAGGCAGAACTGGAGATAGGAGGACCAGCCTGAGTAGCCTGCGCTGCCACTGGAGGCATGCCATGGTGGTGTCCCAGCCCGTGCTGCTGCTGAGAACCACGGCTGGGTCTGCAGCAGCAGGGGGCTGCTTTGATGTCATCACCACCAAAGGCCATGCAGATGTCATTGATCTGGGCTGCCGCCTGGGGCCCTGCCCCTCACCTGCTGAGACACTAACTACTCAGAACAGCAGGCCCCACCCTTTGCCTGGGCAGTGTGGGAGAGCTGACCCCGCCCCTCTCTGGCTAGCAGCACTTGGAAAGGCAGCACAGCAGAGCTGGCTGTGGTGGCTTGGGGGTGGGAGAGCTGGGTCTGCCCCTCAGCAGGGCAGTGCTGGAGAGCTGGTCCTGATGGTATGACAGAGGGAGAGCTGTTCCTGTCCCTCATCTGGGCAAAGTAGGACAGCTGGCCCTGATGGTACAGGCACAGGAGAGCTGGGGGCTGACCAACTCCCTACCACCCAGGCCCAGATCCAGGACTTTGAGTTGGCCCACCCCAACATCTACCTCATCTATGAACTGCTAGGGTGTTTGAAGGAGCCTCTCCTGCAGAACCAAAGCTGCAGGATCACCATGACACAGAACAATAGGATATCTGAGAGGAGCTCCAGTGAGGATCCCACATTGAAAGTGCAGCAGAAGCCGGAGGCCTCGAACCAGACCAATGGCTAACTGCAATGAACATTTGCCGGTAGAGCTGTTTGAGCAAAAGGGTAGACTGTGGGACACACCACGATACACTACAGCTTCCACGAAAGATGTTTTCATTATTTATTTATTTATTTATTTATTCTTGATCTTTGTTTTCTTTGGGGGGCGGCGAGAAGTTGCAATGGCAGAGGGGAGACATGGAGGGATGGAGAGATAAGTGGGATTGGGGTACATGATGTGAAACTCACAAAGACTCAATAAAAAGTTTATTTTTATTAAAGACCAGGTCCTGTTATTAATTCCCCATTAATTCAATGTGACATAGTTTTACTTCAATCCACTCACTGTGACGAGACTGTCTCTGTCTGTGCTGGGGTACACACACCCTCCAGAAACAGGGAGGTCTGCCAGGTAACACACATGCCCAGAAAGACTTGAGGACGTTTCGTGAGGATTCCTGAACTTCATATTTCTTTCTGAAGTTCATGGGTCCGCAATCTGAGACCGGCTTCCTCTAATTTTATTATGCTGATGATTGCATGGAGGTGCCCACTACAGCCTGTGGGGACCTCAGAGACGACTTCCTGCGACTGGTTTCTCCTTAAAGTCCCTGATCAGGCTCAGGCTGTGTGACACAAGTTCCCACATGTTAAAACCTGTCGCGACCGGCCTTTGCCGATAAGGACGACGCAACAACTGAGGATTTCTTCAGCGGCAAGTTTATTGTACAGCTCTTTCTTGCAGATGGTGAAGGACCCAGACCCCGGGTTGTGCTCTGCTTAAATAGCCAGCAGAGAGGCGTGTTCATCTGTAATTGGTGCTCCACACAATACCCAATTAACATGTGATCTCCCATTGGAGGATCACACAATCCTACATTAGCATAAGGCGGCGCATGCGCAAATCGCGAAGCAATGCTGACAAGAAGCGCGAAAATGCTGGCAAGAAGAACCAGGAAGCAGGAAGCCGGCGCCATCTTGTAATGGCGGGAGTGGCTCCCGACAAAAACCTAGTACGCTCTCTTTGCTTGCTTTCTATAGAAAAGCACAGTTGGGGGATGGAGTTTGAAGGCAGATAAAGCACTCACCATGGGGAGCTGAGTTCAGACTCTCAGAACCTACAGGAAGCTGAATGAAATAATGCATGCGTCTGTGAGGCCAGTGCTGTGCTACAGTGAGATGATGGACAGGGATCAATTCCCTGGAAGCCCATGGGCAAACTGCCCTGGAATATACATGGCACAGCAGCAAACTGCAAGGAGACGCTGCCCCAAGCAAGGCAGAAGAGGAAAGGCAGCACCAGAGATGCCTTCTGACCCGAAACCACACCTTAGTGTATGGCTCCATAGAGAAGAAACACTCCCAGGGCAGGAGTGTGGCATGAGGGCTCGGGCCTGTGATCACAGATACTCAGGAGGTAGGAGCTTGACATATTGGAGGCCAGGAGTCACTCTCAGAATTTTGAAGACAGGAAAAGGAGGTCTAGAGATGTAGCTCAGAGGTAGAGCTTTTGTGTGAGGCCCTGGACTGGGGTTAGAAAATGGCACACACAAAAAGAAAAAGACAGTGGGAAAATCTGCAAGATGGGAAGCAGTCTCAGGGACTGGAGTGGGTTGGAGCTAGAGA